GCGACGCTGAAAGTCGGAACGGAAAGGACTTCCCTACGGACGACAAGCGCAAACATTTTTTTGCGAACGTAGTCCCCGCGGTTGCGGTTTAACAATTTTATCGGGCTTTCAACTGCGTGCGTGTGACACGCGCGCAATGGATACAAAGAACGGGAAAATAGACTACCAGAATGCCAAAGTGACGGCAGATGCCTTTATTGACCAACCGGAGGATACACACGGGGCATGGAAATCCGAGAGTTTTCGCCGCTGCTTCTCCATCGGCTTTTCCGCAGTGCCCGAAAACGCGATTCTCCAGTGACGACGTCACCGTTAAACTGTTGTTGGATAAGATACAGTGCTGGAAATTGAGAAAATCCACAGACACACTCGTCTCCGAAATGGACAGTTGTCTCAGTAATTTTTATTTGAAGAGATGACGAATGTGGAGAAGGATGGTAATATATGGGAGTAACTGTAGATTTTGATGCACAACAGCCACGGCTGAGAACAGCGGACGTGATTGTTTTACGTTCATCATAAAACATTTGCAAAGTCGATTTACCTGTCTCTTCGTAGGTAATAATAGAGAAAACGACGGAGAGTCTACTAAACTCTGGTTAATAGTTAACCAGAAAATGAAAAACCGGGCCGCAGTGTCCTACGAAAGGATCGCGTGTAGCACCGACGCCATTTTAAGTCGCGCCGTCACGAGCGCGAGGGAGAAAATTAATCCTTAGGAGACTTTCAATAAAATATTTCTACGATCGCGTGAATGGACATTGCGCGGGTATGCGACACTTTCGATCGGGTGATACATTATCCGTCTCGTAAAAAGAAGCCGGCGCTGTAAAGCCTCCACCGTCTAGCTCGGCAATTAGAAGCACGCGTTTCGACCGGCAGCTGCCGGAGCGCGGCGATTTGACGATAAGGTAATTAAAATATTTCGTAAACACGTTTCCTCGTACTGGCAGATGCGCAGCTCCCGATAAGAGAGAAAACGTACGCTACTGTGCGTCGCCGTATCGTATTGTCCCTCATCGAATTTCTGTACACCACGGTCATTCGGGAAGGAGGAGGGCTGGGGCGGGGAAAGTATCATGGAATTGTTGCTGCTTCTTCCGGTCATTATTACGTTAAATTACCGCAAATTGGGATTCTCGTGATTTTGAGAAGATGCGCGTAGCAGATGTGTGCCCCGCGCTGAGAAGCGGGCCGGGCGTTGAACGTTTTCTCCGGGGGCGAATGCTCGATGTCGTCGAAACTTAAATAAATATAAGCACCGGCTGCCAGCAGGCTGCCCTCCCTGCTCTCCCGGTGCAGCGTAACTCACGGGACTATTTACATTGCGAGCCATGGAGGTATTCGAAACGCACTCCTGTTAATCACTGAGAATTAGCGGGCTAAATGAAAGATAGGAGGGTTAAATTAGAGCCCAGAGCTTAAACCGACCTTTCCCGCTGGTCTCTCTGTGCGCGCGCGACTTCCCACGTGGTAACGCGGAAGATAACACGCCGAAAGAAAGACGAGCGAGAGCCCGCCCCGCGAATTGATCGGACGAGGAAGAGAGAAAGAGGGAAGAGATTTCTTGGCTTCGACGATTAATTACGCCCTCATTCCCGCCCTCTCAACGATGCATCGTCGATATTGACATTTGCCTTGCCTCCCTTTCACCCTGCCTGTGCGTCTCTCTCCTTCTTTCTCCGCTTTTCCTCCCGCGCGGGAGAAAGCTGCGCGGGCGGGAGAAAAGGCCCGAGAGGGAACACAGATATATACACATAGATTTTCTTCGCTCGTAGGAGCGGAAAGGGGTGGAATCGCGGAGGGCCTCCGCCGCCCCTACCTTTCGAGCGTATGCTTATCGGATGCACCAGAGCATTTTTTCCTCGTTGCCTCGCGAAGAGGCAGGTAGGTTGGTAGGTAAGGCAGTCAGGTTGCTAGGAATGCGCGTACAAGGGAATTAGACCATAATCGCCCACGCGCCTGTGTACGTGCGTGTGCCGCGAAAGGGGACGTTTTCCGCGCCTGTCTTTGGACCTCGATGTTCACTCGTCGCACTCACCCTCACCCTCGTCCTCGCCCTCGCGCACCAATCTTGACCTCATCGCATAGCAGATTATGCCCTGGCCCTTTGAGTGCGGAAAAGTCGCCGGATATTAATAAACTGTTTTCATTGCTCTCCGCAAAATGGCAGTGTATAATTATGCAACGATGGTAACTGCATCTCGACAACAATGTGAGATAGGAAGTGATGGCGTTAACCACGGCTCTAAGATATTATTCGTTGCGGTCCAGAACTCAAAAACGTTCGCGAAAAAGGGACGCAATATATGTTTTTAATTTAATTTAAACTAGATTAGCTTTGTCGGAACAAACCGCGAGCAAACGTTCATCTCACAAGAGAAAGTTTCCGCGGCTTACTCACTAATTAGAAATTTGCCAGACACCGAGTTCATTTAAGTTATTTGAGCGCTCGATGTCTGAATGTTAAGTCTTTTATGACCCATCGACTATTACGTTCTTTTAGCCCATCAGCATTTTCCTAATTTTGCTACTTATTTCAGTTATTCGCTTCTGTAAAACTTCTATACTGTTTTAATTTTAATCATACCATGTAAATCTTAGTTTTCGCATATAATTTATTTTGCAAAGGGGTATCTTAAAAATAGACATACGATTTTAATTTTTTTCTTTAAAAAGCTGATAACTAATACCTTTAATGGTGCAATTAATACTCATGATTGAAGGTTGCTGCCTGGATCGATCTAACTTGGTTCATAATCACGAGACACGGTAGTGTCTCGCGCCAAGTGTAAGCGTAGCTAGTACACGCGTTAAATAAGTATACCGGAGGGTTGTGACAGAACTGAAGAGTAAAGTCCAACTATACCACTCTTTCTGATCTAAGTGATTGGGGTCGACAGTCACGACCCTTCTTATGTTATAACTGAAAAGCGACTTTTATCGTAAAAGTAGGTATAAAAAATAATTTATGTATTGCTTACGAACATACCCAACCTAAAGAAATCTTCCACTCGCGACCATACATTCTATCAGTTGAAATCTTTAGAGCACCTGGGGGTCAATTATCTATCTTACACTACAGTGAAAATGCTAAAAGCATTTATGGGCTTTATGGGTCAGTTTCACAAACATCGGTTAACTGCTAATCGATGTTTGCTAAGCAAGGCAAGGATCAATTAACGAAGATTAATTGATCCTTGTCTCTTCTTAGGTCCAGTTTCACAAACGTCGGTTAATTGTTAACCAGAGTTCAGTCGACTTCCTATCTTTCTCTATCTTGTTATCCAAGAAGAGACAGAGGATCAATTAACCATGGGTTAGCGGTTAAACGACGTTAGTGAAACTGGCCCTTAGAGAACAAGATAGAAAAAAATAAGGAGTTGACTGAACTCTGATTAACAGTTAACCGACGTTTGTGAAACTGGCCCTTGGTAGTTCCGCTGAGGATATCATTGACGGGTATTTCCTCCTTTCAAGTCTGAAAGATGGTCAAAAAAGTTTTTAGCTATTATCTTCATTAGCCAATGTTTTTCAAGGTATCATACTCATTGGGAAAATTTCTCTACTCGTCAAGAGCTTTCCAAATGTATATAAACTTTTATTGTGAACCAGTTTTCAGGCCGGGATCTCCTAAAAACTCCTTTATTTATAATTGTTTTTTTCACTTGCGTCGATAAAGTCGACGAGGTTCTTTTTACACTCCCACTCGCGGTTACCATGTGTTTTCTCGTGAGAGTATATCATAGGTCGGTAAGCACAAACTTTCTGTAGATAATGCAGTTTTCTGCATGTGTCTCTTATTGCAACGAATGAAATATTTCTATTGTCAAAGGGACTATTAAATTTCTTACAAAATTGATTTTTTTGCAACACCAAAGTGCCATGCATATTTCCATCAGGCGGTCTCTTCATTTAGAAAAAAGTTTGCGGATGAAACAGCGACGTTACCGACGCGCAACGAAAATGTCTTCTGCATCTTATGCGCGTTCTACACCTACAGGGTAATTCTACTTGCGACTCATCCGAGTGAATAAATAAATGGACAAAGATCGTCGTACTGAGATCGTTTATGGACTCGGGTGCCATTTCTACATAAGACTGTTAAAAATCAGTGAAATCATACAAAAACCATACTTAAGATATGATAGACATACTAAAATGCCCGTGTAAACTTCACCACTCGGATGAGCCTCAAGTAGGATCATCCCTAGGTGTAGAACGGGCATTACGCGGGAATACGCGATGCTGAGAAACCAAAGGTACGGCTGGTGGCAAAGACAAGACGTAAGTCTCGCATAGTTGTGAAAGTAAGTTAAGGCAAAGAAAAATGTAAACCTAAATGAGGCTAATATTAATTCTTATGTTAATGTTTTCTTTCTCTGTCTTATCTTATTATGTCCACAATTATGATGCTTGTTGATTGTAATTAATACATCTCTTTCTCTATCATCAACCCACATCCGAAAGCTTCGCGTTTCTCCTGTGTGTAATAAACAATTAATAATCGCAAAATAACGACAACAAAGCGTCGCGTTTATACGCGTTGTGGCTATTTTTATCGTTACCAACATGACATGCAAACCCGATTGATGCAATGAATTTAATTTCCCACAAGGGCATAGTTTGCGCGTGATATAATTATTAATATAGATAATCGATGCCGAAGGGTATGAAAAGATCGAGTCGGTAAAACCGCCGGCGAATAAGCGGCAAATTAGCTGGTCCTACGCGCCTCCCAGTTCGGATCTGTATCTTTCTACCCTAGAATAGTCCGAAACCACTTTATATACACCGCGCGTCCAGAATCTAATCTAACACGCTCCGGCCATGGAAGTTATACTTTTATTACCGGTTCTATTGAACTTAACGAGGTCAATTGAGGCGATACGGTTGCCTTGATTTTACGATAGCCGAACACGATGCGGCGATAAACGGCGATCCCGCCGACCGTAAATTGTAATCCGCCCACGCGTTTAACAGCTCTCTTTTCGTTTCAGCACCTGTACCACCTGCAGACCGGCGAAGGGACGTTTCGAGAACGCGGGAGGGGGCGAGGCAAGGGCGCCACGAGGGTGAGCGATGCGTCTCGATTTAACTCTACTTTCCATCATAATCCAATTCCTAACCTGACAATATAAATGGCACGTAGCGCGACTGATAGCTATATGCATTTCTCTTAACTGTAAGGTCCGGTTTTTCATTTTCTGGTTAACTGTTAACTAGACTCTGGTTACCATTTAACCAGAAAATAAATAACCGAGCCTTAAACTCTCTAAAATTTTCTGAGTAAAATTTTCACTCGAATCATGATGTAACTGACTACTTCACTCTATTCGAGTAAATATTTACTCCAATAGGAGTACAACAATAAGAGTAAATGTTTTACATACAGATTACGTGAGAAGTATAAAAGAATTGTACAGTATCGCAGAATAATTGTCGGCCTATCATGTTACGCAGTTTAGTCAAATAAAATTAAAACTACGTTTTGGTGGAATAGAGTTCAGTATTAAGAGTTTTTTAGATGAAAAATATAATGTAAATGAATCTTGAAAAGAGAAATATTGCAAAAACTATTGTCCAAGACCGAACGTCCTGTAGACGTCCAAAGATTGATGACCACGGATGGATGTCTCAAATCAGATATACCGTGGACGTCCATTTCATGTCCATGGACGTGCGGATGTATAATACAATGGACATAAAATGAACATCTCCATAGGATGTTCTATCTGGGATTGTAATGATCTATATATATTTCTAGAATATTCGATTGGAATATTCTGAAATTAAGAATGTTTGCACTCCAGAAGAATATTCATAGAACTACGTGTGCTATCTGGGAGGGACTCCATCATGGGCCGGGACGGTGCTTCCGCGACAATAAGCAGAATAAGCGAAACTATCACATAAAGTGTAGATTTTCAGTACTGGCTGTGAACATTAGAATACAGCCTCTATATGCGGTTATCATAATGAAGAAACAATAGCGAAGCTCTCGTCCATGAATTTTGTACTGCTAAAAATAATCGATTAAAGTATAAACATAGCACTCTTTTCAGAGTTGGAGAATCGATCCAATTAAAGAGTGAATAACGGCACTCTTTCAAAAAGTGAAATTGCACTCCAGTCGGACTGGCAGTATTTTCATTATTTCTTCGAGTGGAAATCTCACTCCGAAAAATTTAGAGAGAAAGTCCTCATCTAAGCGGTGATGTTATCATTACGTCGCGTTGGTTTATTCTTGGACGTTGCACCCTAACACATTAGAATCTAAGAATATTCGGAGGATATCGCAGTATAGGATATTATAGCGATATTCTTAGAATATTAAGTGTATTCTTAGCACATTACTCTATAGAATGTATAGAATATCATGAGACGCCGTTGGGGTGTCTCCCGAGGATTCAATTCGATAAGTTAAGGATAATTGCGCGAATTGTCGCTGTCGGAAATAACCGCGAAAGTTATCGCCCGTCGTGTTTGAGCCCGCCGGAAATCGATGGCCGGCGATCCATATTCGCGATTCTTAATTGCCAGAGACGCGGCGCCGTAACGCGTTTAGCCCTACTTCGCTGACGCGGGCCGGCTATCTCTCGGTACCGGCTGTACGGAGTTTCAGAACTGATATTAAGCAAGGTGGTATTGATCGACGCACGTTGCGCCTGTCCGCGTTACTGCACCGCCATGTTTAAAATCCGCTTGTGCCTTAAGCCGCCGCGCCGCGCCGCGCGGACTTGAGTCACGCATGCGGCGAAGCGGCTCGGCATTTTATTTAGCCGTCTCGTGCGCCAATCTAATTTTCATTTTCTCGCGGGGACAAGGATGTCGAACTTATTCGGCGTAACACCTGCAGGTCGTTACCGCGAGGACGTCCCTCGTTCTGATCGAGTTCCCCTCGCTCCAAAGGCGATGAACGAACGAGTAATATCCCATTGTCTCGTTTCTTTCTCCACTTGTCGTGGATTCACGGTTTAGCGGCGCGAGGAAATCGGCCCAGCGACCCACGGGGCCTTTTCTTATCTAATCTGTCAACACGTGGATAAGATAGCGCCGTCGACATTCTTGAATTTAGCCGCCCTGGTAGAACAAGACAGGGTCTCACTTGTGTCTTCGCTAACCCCGAATAAACGCGCATCTCAGTTTTTCCTTCTTCTGTAAAGGCGCGTGTCTCGTGTGTCGCTTTCCTCGTGGATCCGTCTTGAATGAAACGTCGCGTCGTAACGGCACAGCAGCACATACACGGAGGTATAGTATTGTAAAACGAGAGGAAGGTACAGAAACGCGCGATGGCGTACCGTACAGCGTAGTAATAAGACGAGTAAGATCGTCGGCGGGCCAAGATCGACGAGCTAAGGAAGGCTTAAGGGTAAATCCGCGAGGCGGTCTTTCGAGGACTAGTTTATTAACGTCCCTGCAACTTGTTGCTGAGCGCGTTGCCATGCCGGCCCTTTTGACCTCTTTCAGGGCGTCTCTATCCGCGTCGGCCCTCTTAACGACGCCTTCCGAGGGACGGGTACCTCGGTCGGATCGATTATCTTCCAGCAATTGAAACTGATTGAAACATCTGTCTTGTTCCCGGATTACGCGGAGGGCACCGGCCGGCCGGCCGGCCGGATCTCTGTCCTCCCACGGCAACGCCTGACCCGAGTGCCTCGGATCGTTCGGCGACCTTGATTGGTCTAAATTTCAAATACCGCCGTTACTGCGATCGACTCTGGAAAACGGTGCATTATTAACCGGGCGTTCGACTCCGTTCGCGTTTAACGTCCTCGCCAGGGCGCGCGAACGCTTTTCGTTCCTTCCGATACATTAAACATTTCTCTTCACGGCGGCAGGTATTCTCTTGCCCCACCAGCGAGCCGCGTTTTACCCCCTCTGTCGCGTCAGCCACCTCCAGTTACAATGACGTGTTGGCGAACCATCCCCTCTCCATCGCCGTCGACGCCGTCGTCGTCGTCGTCGTCGCCGCCGCCGCCGCCGCCGCCGCCGCCGCCGCCGTCGTCGTCGTCGTCGTCGTCAACGGCAGCGGCGGTGGCGATGGCGGTGGCGGCGACACCAACACCAACATCGGTCCTACTGCTCCCATCGTCTACCTATGGAGAGCCGTAGCAATTTCGCGACGCAAGTTTTGTTTTTCCTTTCTTCCCGCGACTTCACTGTCGGAGCACGTCGTCCCGCCGATACTCGAAGCGTGTTTTTCTCGTATAATACTCCGATATTTCTTCCCTCCCTTATTATGACTCGCGCAACCATTATTATGGGGTTTAGTCTATCTATGCTCATAAATAACGCTGCAAAATTGTCAGATCTATAATATACGACACGCGCGTGTAATATATACATGTCGCATTGTTGAAACGTATCCTAGCTTGACTGTCTCTTTCTCTCTCTTTCTCTCTCTCGTTTAACCTTCCAGCCATGTGAGAACTTGCGAGAGCGATGCGTCCCAACTTTCGGAAAGATCGGGTGACGTAACAAGGAACAAAAAGATCGCGCCATTCAACATTATTTTGCTTATTGTCCCAAACAGACCTATAACCGGATCTAAAACTCCAACTAAAATTTACCCCCCCCCTTCTCCCCCGATATACCGTCGTAAGTGTCGATGGTGTCCCATTTTCTTTTAAATATCGATAAGAGATGTCGGAAACAGTTGAATACGCTAGTTAGCCTGGGACGCCACTTGAAAACGCCGCAGACTAAGAGCCGGAGAGAAACAAAAGCGCAGAAAGAGAGGGAATGGAAGGACACGAAGAAGAGCGGGGGTCATGTAAAATCGACACGAGCGTGCACGAGCGTTTCCGAGCGACGCGAGCTTGTTCTACGTGGAAGAAACGGAGCGCCGTGCCGTGCCGTGTCGTTGCTTCGCGATGGTGAGCTAGACTGGTAGACCATCGAGGCCTTGTTTACACGTTCGGAGATGTCGAGGTGAAAAGAAGCGCACGGCACGGCGATTAATGTAGCGGTCAGCGCGATGGAGGGTCGAGGGTCCGATTCGGAGTCACTTTCAACCCTCGAGTGACGGGACGGTCAAACCACCCCCTGCTATGCGCTTCGATCCCGTTTCGGCGTGTCGAAGATGTCCGTGACACGTTCTCTGTGTCGGACGACACGAAACACTCGTATCTCGAGGACCAAAAAGAGAGTACATGAAAAAACGAATCTCAAAACGTCTCTGTAGGGATGTTAGTCGCCCCCGTGGCCGAAGGCTTCTTAGCGAAACTTGTGGTCGTGCCCGCCATGGCAGAAATCGGCGCGTCGCGAGGAGACGCAGGAATTCGCGATATCGCGCTGCGATAACGCGCGACGCGGTGGCCCCAGTGGGGAGATAAGGGGAGGCGAGTCGTGGGAGAGAAACAACGAGGCACGACCGCGCACACCCACACGCGCGATTGCGCGCTCGTGCTCGCGAACGAGCGAGAGAGGGCGAGAGAGGGCGAGAGGGAGACGAAGAGGGAGACGAAGAGGGAGCGCAGAAAGGTGGGAACGCAGTCGGCGAGCGCGAAGAGGCGCGAGAGGAAGAGGAAGAGGCAAGAAAGAGAGGGCGGGGAGAAGGGATGCGAGCAAGGGGGCTGAGGGACGGGGAGGGAGCGCCGGAGGAAAAGGGAGAGGCGTCTCATGGGAGTTATTCGGCGGATCGCTCCGCGACCAGAGTGATCTCTCGCGAGTGCTGTCGGCGATCGATCCGATCGGTATTTGAACGAGTTTCAGCGCGGTTTGTTGTGCCCGGCACGCCGAATCCTCGCCCGGTCGGAAGTAGTTTCTCGCGCGCCAAGTCCGCGGCTCTGGGTGTGGGTGTCACTGCCGGTAAATCGGGAAAGGCGAATCACGGTGCCGCGCGCGGAGAATAAACGTAGGGAATCGACATACGTACGTACGTAACTTGGCTCGCGCGGAGTCGAGTGCGAGTGTGATCCGATTCGAGTTTCGAGTGCTTCCAGACGAGATTTTAGAGGAGGAGGTCAAGTGTCTTCACGGACCATTGGACCGCGAAGAACACCGTCGCGAGGAAGTGAGTTAGTTTCTCTCTTTCTCTCTTTTTTTTCTCTTCATCGAATCGACGGCACGATGAAACGTTTCCCCTTTTTTTAATTCACCTCTTATTGGTAGCGTCAGAGATGCGCAATTATGGCACGTGTTCGGATCCCTGCCAGCAGCGTTTCCCGCTTCCCTCCGGCCGGCCGGTAAAATTCGACGAGTCTTATTTTTACGTTTATTTATTTTCTGTTGCCTATCGAATAAATCGAGGAATCAGACGAGGATGGAAAAGAGAATGTAAAAAAAAATTGATCGCTGTTACGTCATCGGTCTTGCTCTGCCAGTCGTATTTATATTTTCGGAGAACCCCGACTCGAACGATAGCGTGGACTGCGATATCGCAATACGATCCCACCGCGTTACGCGCGCGCGCGCGGAGAAAAAAGAAGCCGGATGATTCATAAAAAAAAAACTCGAGCTACTCGTATAAATGAACGTGATGTCAATCGATAGGCTCAGATTCCTTTTTTGCCCGATACGCGTAACTGCGTTATATAAATCTAAAACACGCCGCCTGACGATTCTGCACGTGACGCTCGCTCCGAATCTCTCGAAACTTTATTCAAAGCTGCAAAGCCCAGGGCACTGCCGACCGTTGTTGATTTAATGCACGTTGATGTAACGATTCGATCGCCGCGACGAGTCGCTGTAACACCGTGTATAATTCTTAACACTGTAGCGCGTTCGGATTATATAAGGCAACACCCGACTCCGGGGCCCTTGCGCGCGTCAAGGACCAACCGGCCGAGCGCGAAACCCGACTTGACGAACCGCGTTCTGCTGCCGGTTACGCAAGCCCCGGCGTTCGTCTATCGTGTTCGTGGAATTTAGGTTAAACCGACGTGTCCTCTGCCGCTATCGGCGGTCCAACGAAACGTCACGAATTCCTCGCTCGTTTTATTAACTTTTTGCCGTTCTATCAGCGCGCGCGCGCTCGCGGCCGCGCGCGCAACCCAGACCGGCGATCAAGGTGATCTATAACGGAGAAAAATATACGCGTTGACCTGCGAGTAATGCGATCGATCGAGCGAAAAGCTGCTCGTACGAGACGCTCGGGAAAGAATAAAATATCCCGCCGACTCGACGGGGAGGCGCACACTATTTACAGAAAATTCAATACGGCTTAATAAGCAAAAGGACACCGGCCAGAATTACGCGCGAAACTTTTTCCAATCTATTCCCGACAAAGACAAGTATTTCTGCTTCCGTCTTCTTTCCTTAGCTGACGCCGTGGCTTCGCGTCATTTTGTAATAATGCGTATTAATGTTTTGTTGTAACCCCCCCCCCCCCCCCCCCCCCCGGGTCTCTTTTGTAAACTGATGTCGAGAGCGTCAGCACGGAATTTGTAGAACAGAAGCGTTCGTGTGCGACGAGGAGGAGCCCGAGTATCGCGTGTACTTATACTTTCATTTGGCTTAAGTCAACAAAATGTGAATCACCGCGAGTGGAATGGCCGACGTTGAAATCGGTTGGTGGCGGTCGGTCAATGCCCACGCGCCAGCCACGTGGTTCGACACAGGGCTTCATGCCCGATTATTTCCAGAGCTCTCGCTCCGGAGCTACGAAGCGCCCCGCAATAATTGGCAATCCAAATCTGTCAACATTTGCAACTAATTTCGATCCGATTATCATTCCAATGAAAATATCGCGATCTACGAGCCCGCCCCGGGCACGTGGGAACGCTGGCGGTGATCGATGACAGTCTATATTTTCTCACGCAGCAAAATATATCCGAGACTCGCATCGGATATCCCAGTGACACTCGAGTACGCAATCAGATATTCCGATATTTAAATGCACCTCCCAGATATCCTTTTCATTATACACTTTGCCGCCTGGGCACCAATGCATCGCGTCTCATCGTAATGTTTGTAATACAGTAACGTTGATCAACATCGAGCGGGAGGAATCGCTCTCTTTTCTTCCTCCGAATCTTGAAAGTCCCACGCACGACTGATCCTGGATAATTGGCTGTTCGCCCATCTTCTCGACGAAAAGGTGAATCGCAGCAAGTTCTAAAATAAGTAGACGATGAGAGAGCACCAGCTAATCCGTGCCGTCTCTCTGAAAAAGGTCAGCCGTCTTGTCTTACACTTTGCTGATCGATGATTGACGTTTCAAAGAATCCATCATTCCCTGCCGGATGTGCTCAATGAGGATTTTTCAATCGGCATCGGTCCGACATGTACCGGCACGGGGAATAAAAGCGGGCAGCTCTTTAAAGGCTTTTCCCATTTCCCTCTTTCTTTTCTTCCTTCAGTTGTTTTTATGAAAAATCTCACTGGATTTACAACATGGTTTTCATAAAAGGATTCACAGCCGCGATTGTGTCTTCAGGATCGGATCCGTTGATTGTTTCTGACGTTCTGCCGAAGATGCACGAACAGCACCAATTGACCTGCTCTTTTATGCCGGTGCACACGGGCGAAAATTTCGAAATGCCGATCCAGGCGTCTCGGTGGGTGACAAATGTTCCGCGAGAGAAGGAGCTCTCCTTGCGAGCTCAGCGTAGGTCCGACCCCACAACGTCCCGTCTATTTATAAGTCGCAAAGCATAATATAACACACGTTCGACACGTAACCGCGTGTATCGAAGATGCAAAGGCGATTTTGACGCTCGACAGCATCGGCCTTGAAAAATCGACCACGTCATGGCCACGTAAAATTCGTGAAGGGAGACACTCGTAGGGGGAAGCCGGCGATCGGCTCGGTTGGCGACGCTTGTTGAACTATGGAAACCGTTTCAGCCGCCTCGGCCTACTTAAGCCGTGTCGTTATTTTTAGCATTAGGGTCACCACTGCCGTATAGCTAGCTGGCTTTAGTACCATCCTTTCTTCCTACGACTCGGGTCTAACTTTCTTAACCCTTCGCGACTCGTGTCGTTTCCACGGTATCGCTCTCGGTCATATTATATCAATATTTAATCGTTAATTTCAATTAACCAATGACGCAAGAATACCAGGTATAACATTCCAGTGGCCGATCAGAAATTTGCCCCAAACCTTCCAACTGCGAATTATCGCGGTTGAGAATGCGGCAGGAACCAACGAACAATTTGCCTAAAAAAATTGGTTACATTGCACATTTACATCGTGAATCAATCCACGTTACGACCGAGAAATCCCTTTCACCTAGAATTAATCTCCAAGCTCTGCAACAGATTATACTTGAGCGATATTTTGAGTGTAAATCCGTTCCGGAGTCTACGCCAAAGTTTCTTTTTGAGAGCGTAGAGTTTCCTATGTTTGATATGCACAAGAAAACCCATCAAATAAGAGTGACAATTTTTATTGCAGAGTTACCGGAAGATCACACGGCAGGTCAGCACACCTGACAGCGCACCAGCTGGTCTCGGCAGTCCGCAGGGTGGTATTGGCGGTTTGCAGCAGCAGCAGCAGCAGCAGCAGCAGCACCAGCAACAAACGCAACAATCTTTACACCAGCCAGATCCCATGCAGCAGACCAAGGACAGTCTTAATCCCGCGGCGAACCAACAAACGGGCGCGCTCAGAAACGGCAACCCGCCACCACCTGTCGTCTCTATGGTGAGTTTCGAACCTCTCTATTTCGAATTATTCAAATTACGCGAAAGCAATCGGCCTCGCTCTATCGTTCTCTCTATCCTATTACAACAAGTACTACTGTGACAAAAAGTCGACTTGAACGTACAAGATATATGCCGGGCGCGCGCCTAAGATTCAAGATACGCGCCGAGTTAAGAAATTCTAGAACCGCAAGTCTATGCAGGGGGCCTGAAGATCGCTATAAAGATCGTTGTAAAGATCAAGTCAATTAGGGACATGTAAAGACAATTTTGTCGTTCGCGGAGCGACGCTGCCCGCGACGGTCCATGACTGCAAAGGAATCGACTGCCGAAATAGCGGCGTAACATGGAGGGCAAGGGTAGACTACCGGCAGACAGTGAGTGCGGGGGCGGTGACCGGCCGCCAACGCGAATCAATACCCGCAGGAACAGGAACCACCGACCTACCGAGAGAGACGGAGAGAGAAAGAGAGAGGGGGGGGGGAGAGAAGGAGGCGGGGAGAAGAGGAGAACGACGTATCCCGGGAACGAAAGGAGAGAAAGAGAGAAGCGATGAAAAGCGAACGGTATCAAGAGGTGGAGCAGGAGTAACGATACGATAGAAGCCGGCAAAGGTAGCCGCTCGCGTTGCAGGGGGTAGACCACCCCCGCGATCCCTATATGGAGATTCGCCCTCTAATACATACTGCCCTCCCCCATACCCACCCGTCCCGTCTCTTCTCCAATTGCCGATGTTAATAAAATATTTTAATCGTCTTCGCCGGCTCTCTCTTTCTCGCGAACGAGCGATCGCGGATCCACGAAATGATCGATGGAGTCTGGCGGGCGCGAAACCCTCCACGTGCGTTCTTTATGAGATCCTTCGATGCGATAAACCAATCGATGCATCAGGAAAAGGGATTCTGCGCATTGCGAATTGCGCCGGCAGTGAAAATTCGTAACCTTGTGACTAAAGCGCGATGCGTTCTCTCGCTTTTTTTTTTTAAACGCTCGCTTGATCGCGGCGAATCTTTATGCGTGACGTAACAGCACGTCGTACCTGCCGCGGGAAAACTTCTCCGCGATCGCGGGGGAGTCGCCGTCGAGATAAAGCAGCAGCTGAAATTTAGTTGCAACTTTCGGGTCGATTTTCGTGTCGACGTCCTTTGCCTTCCCTCGCATCGCTCTCGTTTTGTAGCGACGGGCCTTCAAATACGCGCGACTAAAACGGACGATGTTTTTTCAGGAAAATCGTGTTACGAGCGAATCGTACCTGAAGCCCAACAATAATGTTTGTCGCAAATAAACAATAGTTACGGCGCGCGAGCGTGCAAACGGCAGGCATGCGCTTCGAATGTGTTTCCACGTGCAATTTCACGTGCAGGGCATTTGCGATCTCTCCATGCGCGAGTGGTCTTAACTCAGAAAAACATCTTACAATTAGGGCTAGTGTCACAAACGTCGGTTAACCGCTAACTGACGGTTAATTGATTCTCTGTCTCTACTTATTGTTAGATAATGACATGGAAAAGGACAGGGAGTTTACTGAACTCTGGTTAACTGCTAACCGAAGACTAATTGATTCTTTGTATCTTCTTAAGTAACAAGATGGAAAAAGATAGGGTATCGACTGAACCTATAGTTAACAGTTAACCGATGTTTGTGAAACTGGCCCTTAGTGACGCGCGTCTGTCGCGATTTGTTGAAACGTTAAGGAGGCCTCAATTGATGATTGGTTTCTGGCTCCTGACAAAGGGTCGATCATCGCTAGATTTCTTTATGCGAGTCTAACGTTGACCACGTACTGATCATGCCATCGGTAGGAAGTGACAACGACTGTGTCTTTCCGGGAGGATACTCGATATTTTGTACACTATATATTCTAGCCATCCGGACTAATTATTAAAGATAACTTCGCGAATTGTTGATCTGCTTTTTGATTTTTCAAAGGCTACCCGTATTTCTCGTTTTCCATGTCCTCCCACAACGGGAATTTTGAAAATGAAGAAATAATAGATGTTAATAATACACGGAGAGAGAATTTTCTCTTAACATTTACCCTGAAAATCGTGGAACAACATGGCATTTTGAAGAATTTTATGAGAGTATTTTAAAATTTTACCATACAGTTTACTAGTAAAACATACTAACAATAAGTATAATTACTACACTGACAGAAATTTTTTTTTAACTAAGTAAATACATTTACTTAAAATTATGTTTTTATACTAAAGTAAATATTTATTCTATTTAAAGAAAAATATCAAATTTCAAGTATGTATTATATTAAGTAAATTAATTTAAATCATTATATTTTCTACATTCAAATAAAAATGTCATGAGATATAGAATACTATTAATTAAATGAAATAATTGTTTTTGTTCGAATAATTTTCTGGAGTAAAGTAATATTTTTTTTATTAAAATATTTTTTATCAGTGTAGCAAAATGTATGGTAAAATTAAAAAAATTGTCATAACATTCTTCCGGTATGATTAATTTCAATATGACTTAATTTCCTGGACCAACTGTTTCTAAACGTTCGAAACGTTTAGGTAAAATTTCAGAAAAACTCATAAAATTCTTCGGAATGCCGCGTTGTCCCGCAATTACATGATTTTCAGGATAAATTTTAAGAGAAAATTCTCCCTTAAAAATCAATTATGTGCCTTACAGTCGCAAGAAGTTCAGATGAGCGACGAAAAAAAATCCAAGAACAGCTTTTTCACAGCAAAACCATCGGGACGCGAAGGGTCAAAAACAAATCGGGTTCACAGTCGCGACTAAATCGCGACGACGTCGTACAAGCGCGAAATGCTGTTAGTTTCGGATCGAAAGTTGTCAATTAATCGGCACGTTGCGGCGTGCGCGCCCACCTTAATTTGCACAACGATATGTTGCGCGTTGAACGCGCGTGCAGAAATGTCCAATTCGTCTATTATCGTTAGCCTCGCCGCTGTTCCCCAACATCGATATCGCTTCCAGGCGTGATAAACTTGCGCCCTACTCGCGAGACACGTCACAGCTCACAGCCGCGAGATATAATCTGTTGGCGCGTCGCTTCCCTTCCCGCGCATTGCGTTCGAACGCGGGGCCAATTCCCATTGATGTTCCGCGCCCGGCGGTAATTGTGCATTTCGCGCGTTTAAACGGCCCGGCCGGTGTCCAAACGCGTTCGGTGTCGCGCGCGACACGATAATTGCTAATGCCGCGGCGATAAAGGAATCAACGTTACGGCGGGGGGTCCGCGCACTCGTCGGGCCGCCCAATTATGCAATAAACCGAAACCGCGAAACGCCGCCGTCCCGATCGCTCGGGCGGGCGCGCAAATTGCGAATTTGCGCATTTCCCATCGCTCGCCGCGCGCACATGCGGTTTTAGCCCCGCACGCGATCGGGATCGCTCGCAGAAAGCGAGAGCGACGCGAACGACGGCGCCCGCGTCCCCACGTTACGTCCCTTTCCCGCTCTTTCCTCTCCACGCCGCCCTGCGGTGAAAATTCTCTCCCCCGAGGTCCCGGCACGCGCCGCGATCACGGGGGGTATAAGCTGTAAACGCGATGGAAGACGCGTGTCTATAACCGGTGGCAAGATCGGGAAAACTGGGTGCGGGTGAAAAGTGGCCCGGGGGTCGACAAACTCCCTCGTTTTCTCTCTCTCTCTCTCTGCCGCGCGAATATCCGCCGGAAGGGCAACTCGGATCCCGAGGGTCATGTTTGGGTGCTGTCACAGAACGTTCCGTTTTATCACACCGGGGTCTTAGGTTGCCCTAGGTCACGATGCCACGAGAACGGAAGGATTTTCTCCCCGAGGGAGAGAAAGCGCGCGCGCGTGCGGGCGGGCGTGTGTGCGCGTAAGATGGAAGAGAAGGAGGACGATACCGAGGAATCTCGGTGCCACGCTTGGCGAGACGCCCAAGCTCTTCGACGCTATCAGCCTCGACCACAAACACCGATTCACGGCCACTACGGAGGTTCTCAAAGAGAGACGGAGGGAAAGAGAGAGAGAGAGAGAAAGGGACGACTCTTCCCAAGCCTCGAGACGGACGACTCTCTCGCTCGAGGGCGATCGAACGTTCGACACGAGCCGTTTGTTTCAGCGGCTCGTACGCGATAACGCGTTAAATGTCAGACAGTTGGGGCACGCACACTCGGCTCACCCTCTCACGTAGACGGCCGAGTCTTTTTACACGTACGCAAAACCCGGGGCCGCTTATCGGCCGTTTATTCGCAGGGCGCGCGCTTTATCAGCGCCCCTGCATTTCGGTGCCGCGTGCGCGACCGCTCGGCCGGGGGGTCGCTCGCGCGGGGACTCGATTGGCTAAGCGCCAATTATGGCGAACCGCGAGGCGGACGAGACGCGGCTACTCTCGGCCGCCTGCAAAAGAAGGCCCCCCAAAATCCGCGGGGCGCAAAGACACTCGTCCTCGTTTCCGAGGACGCGCGCCGCCAAGATCGCCGCGGCGAAACCTACTTTACCGGGCGGCCGCCCGCGAGCCGGGGATGACAAAAGATCGGCGGCGACGAACGGACGGTACGAACCAATCGTCCTGGCTATCCCTCCTCGTTTTGTACAAAGTTTTACAGTCTGGCTGCGCGGTTGCCGGCTCGCTTCCCTCCTCCTTCGACTCGCATCGCCGCGGACGTGGGGCTCTCCTCTCCGCTCCTCCGCTCCTCCGCGCCTCGATGCGTCCTTTCTTTTTTTCTTTCCCCCGTTCGACACCGTCTCCGTCGCTCCGTCCCCGCGCGCCTACTGCCCTCTCTCGTTCTAGCGCGTTGACAGAGAGCGCGGCGGGAGAGGGGCGGCGGGGTTAGGGGCAGGGGGGGGGCAAAAGCCGAGAGAACGGCCGGGCGAACGAAAATAAACGAAAGCGAACTCGCGGAGCTCCATTTTTACGCGCGCGGCGCGTTATTCTATCCCGGACCGATTGCCATTATCGTTGTTATTTATTGCACGATAAAATAGTTTTATGAAAATGTATGCGCAGATGCACGTGTACGCGCAGGGAAATTATATCTAGATGCCCGAAACAAAGCGCGCGATAAATTGCCGCTCCTAACGTAGACCCCTCGTTGTAATTTCTTGGGGCCCCGATAAGAAGAATATATCTTTTTTTTTTCGAAGAAATAAACATTCGTTGTACGCGCAAGTACGTGTGAATATTTCAATTATACCAAAAAAATAAATAAAAAGAGGATAATGTTAATTGCTGTCCTGAAAAATGTCTTGGGGAAAAAAAGATTCAATTACAGTATTCAATGGCAATCGCAAAAAGTTGAAAGTACAGCGACGAAAGATTCAAAGGACAGGTCGTAGTGGTTTCACGGGCGAAGCCATTGGGACGCGAAGAAGAATTTAGAGACACTTTGAACCTTCGTCGGGTGCATTAATGATAAGGAAAATTGGGCGGTCCGAAGAGGCGAAATGCTGAACGATTCTTCTATACGCAGTCACCCGGAGTGATGCCGTTTTACGGCGATACCGGCGCCGGTTTCCGTCCCGCAGCTGGATTTGGAAATACCGTTTGGCATCAGGGAGTCGGACCAGTTGGCACTGTCGCGGTCGAGACGTCACCGGCGCCGTGGCCACCTCAGCAATTCATTCAGCAGATTGCCGCGCCGAATCAACTCGAAGAACTGAGATATCATACTCAGTACGGCGCTGCGACACCCTATCATTCTCAACCAGGTAAGTGCTGAGTGGCTCGAAGGAGATAGTAGCAACCCCCGCGGGGGGGAAAGAGTTGATCCGCACAATCTTTTGGATAGTAACGAACCCACGCTGAGCAAAGAAAATCTAGAAGATTCGACCAGTCGCCTGTTAGAAAATGGACGAGTCGGAGTTCAAAATTTTAATCGACCTCAGCTGGCCACGTTTATTGAATACGCTTTCACAACGTTCCGACCTCTTTGGTTTAGGTCCCTTTCAAGTGAGATCTAGGAGTAAATGTTTTACATACAATTAACGTGAGAAGTATAAACGAACAGTACCGCAGAGAGATTGTCGGTCTATACCTTGTTACGGAGTTTGTCGAGTGAAATTACAGCCACAATTTGGCGAGCGGTGTTCAGAAATAGCAGCCATTTCACTAACGTCCGGAGTCGATGATCGAAAGACTAAGAAGCTGATTAGTTATTTTAGTATACCATTTGAATCAGAATTCCTTTAGGATCTACCAGATGTGTAGTGAAGTCTAGGAAACTTCTGGTTATGAAATATCGAGCCCTATCGCGCCAACTAGAAATTCTGTTTGGTTTAGCCAAAGTACATTCCGTCGTACATGTCTTGTTGATACAATCGAAGCATTTTTCTCAGTGCACGCATTCGAGTTCGTCACTGTGGACACTTGCACACAATTACACCACACACACACACACACAGCTCATTTACGGCCACATTGTTCTCCAACCAAATTCAAGAAAAAAGAAAGAAGAGCTAACATGAAGAAGACAATGCTCGCGAGAGAGCAACGATAGTTCCCCGGAATCATTATATTACATTCGAGAAAGGATATAAATACCTAATCGCCAAAATGTTAGCAGAATGGCATCAGATTGGCACAGCAGATTTATCAGAGACCCACGCCGAAACCATAGCCGCATTTGACTTTTATTTTGGCAACAGGATCTGTGAAACATACGCTGTCAACAGATTGTTGGCAGAAAACCGAGTTAGGTCCAGTTATGTGAGCAGATTTTGTTGCATTTCTGCTGACACGCTAGCAGCACGTTGAATATACCAGTTCCTGTATGCAATCTGCAGTCTTTCTGCCTTCAAAATTCGAAATCAATTCTGGCGGATTTGGCTATCTGGGTCATGCATTATAGAGTTCTTTAGAAATAGTTTCTGTTTTCTTAACAATCCTGCAAACTGAACGTTCGTACACATTAGAGACGTGACTGCTTTGTGTTGCGTTACGCAACATCGCGTGACTATATAAACGTGTTAATTTTAATATTGCAGTCTCGTATCAACAACAGACGTTCATAACGGCGGATCAGTCTGCGTTTCAACGAGCCGGAACGACGGGACAGTACACTATCACGGGGCAGCCGTCACCGCTGACTCCAGTCGGAGGGCAGACGGTGGTCTCGACGCCTCAGAGGCAGTTGAATGGACAATTTGTCGATCCCTCGGCTACTGCTAACCAATCAGTCACCTACGAGCGACAAGACTATGTGAACGGCTATCAGCAGCAAGTAAGTTACCTTTAATTATGTATAAAAAAAATCTCCAATTTACACGTCGTTAAACGCGCGGATTCAATTCTCACGTGTTTTTCTCGTGTTTGCCCCTATTTTGATAGCCGTTCTAAAGAATCGTATGGCATTAACAACGAACGCTACACACCGCAAAACGGGGCTTCTTGCAGGACGTGACGATGGCGCCGCCTCCGTCAACAACTCCGACGAGTCGTAGTAGCTCGGTGCACATGGACAGTCAGCAACAGCAGCAGCAAGGAGGTCAGCAGCAGCCAACGCAGCAGCAACAGCAGCAGCAGCAGCAGCAACAGGCCGCCGCGGATACGCAAGTAAAGGGATTCGCGACGATCGCCTCTTCCAACGTGTCGGGAAACGAGATGCCTGGGTATCCACTTCAACCGGACCCACAGAGTTTACACAACTCTAACGGGTATCCAGGCTACGTGGAGATGGGTCAGCAACCAGCGCAGAACCAGTGGCAAATGGTTCCGCAGCAACAACAGCAACACCACCAACAAACGCAAATGCAACAGCAACAATCGGTGGTCGACAATAATCAACGACATGTATGGTCTGACACAAGCGGAAAGATGAACAGTGGTGTCAACAGTAGCATGAACTGGCAGGAGGGAGCGATGCAACAGCCACAGAAGCCACCATCGCAGCAGCAACAACAAAATATCCAAGGCAATATGAAGCCACAGGTGGAGCAGCAACAAACTTCTCAAATGCAACCACAGGAACTGCCAAGACCAGCGAGTCATATGAGCTGGGAGACCGGGAGCGTGAAGGAACCCCAAACGCCACAGTCGTGGTCCGACAACGCTGACAACCAGCAACAACAAACTCAGGGAAACTGGTCGCAACAGAGTCCGAAGTTAAGGGATCCGCAAAACTCACGGTTGACGCCATCCAGTCAACAAGCGTCTCAACATCAGACTTGGTTACAGCACTCACCGAAACTGTCAGACCACCAGCACAGCAATGCTCAACAGAACGCGAGAATGACGCCTTCAGGCCAGCGTAGCTGGCAGCAAAATAGTCCAGAGATGCAAGGATCTCAGCAGAATCCGAGATTGACGCCTTCTGGGCAACAGATACAACAGCAGCAGCAACAACAACAACAACAACAACAACAACAACAATCGTGGCCGCAACAGACCAAGGTGGAGCAGAATCCTAGACTCACACCATCCAATCAAATATCGTGGCCCGACACGCCGACTAGTCAACCGAATTGGTCACCAAATAGCATAAAAAGTGATAATAGTCAACAGCCGCAGCAACAATGGCAGGACTCACAACCAAGTCCTAGACGGACCCCGAGTCATCAGTGGCAAAGTCAGCTGCCACAAGAAAAAATAGAAAATCAAATGGTAAATTGGTCGCCTGTAAGTTCTGTATCGGAAACTCAACCGACTTGGGGACAACAGGCGACAAAACAGGACATGCAAAACTCAGGAGAGAGAATTGCGTGGCAACAACAAACGACAATGGATAATAGTAAATCAAACGGATTTCCAGAAAATCAAGATAATACGGAAAGCAACGTCTATGCTCAATCTAATCGAGTGAATCTTAATAGCCGATTGAAATCGATGATTCTGAACAAGCAACAACAACAACAGCAGCAAATGCAGCAGCAACAGCAGCAGCAACAGCATCAGCAGCAAACCCATCAACATCATCAGATGCAATCGCAACACGTTAACACTAACAATGGATCCGCTTCAGAATATTCAGCGGACGATCAAATGCGCGATGCGCATGAAAGTAGCGAGAAGATGCAAGAGAAACACACGGATCATTTTATCAACCAGCCAAACATTATTTCGATGACGCAACCTAATGAAAACTTGACCGGTAATTTTTTATCGCATAGCCACCACCCTCGGGTAGATAATTTGCCCGATGGTGGTGGCTTATGGGAATGGACGGAAAGGGAACACAATCACAGTAGCAACGATATCGATAACAAAAATGACGATAATTCCGCATTGCCGGAAAATGGAATGGCAGCTTTCGAAAATTTTATGAAGCTCACCGCAGAAAACAAGAGTCAGTCATGCGACAAAGACAAGGAGCAACATTCCTGGGACGCAGAAGCAAGAAGCAATGAAGATCAAGATATCGACGACAAATCTTTCCAGCAAAGATTGTGCATGGATCAAGTCGAAAACGCATCTTTCGAGAGATCCCAGAAGATATCCGAAAGTGACGGAATGAAAAACGATAATCTGGATTTTCTGAAGACTACAAGCTCTGACGATCATACATCTTCCCAAGATAAATGCGATTCTGATCGTGTGATTAAACAGGAGAAACTCGAAGATCACAATTATCCCCACGTATCCCACGATACGTCCAACGTCATCGAGGACGAAGAGACTGAAGAGATTGCTCGAGATTATAAGTTTCCCGGCGATGGTGGACCAGCGAAGGTGTCGCCGGGAACGGGTTCGTGGTGCTGTCGAAGAGGCGGGACCGAACAACCGACTCCCGAACATCTGAGAGACGGCTGTTGTCAGGGTCTTCAAACTAAGGATGAAATACTGGCCGATTCTCCAGAGAAAGCCGAGTTGAAGAGCGAAGGACCGCACAGCCCGCATACCCCGACTACAACGACTGTGACGACAAAGTTGCAAGACCACTTGGACAAACTGAAGAACAATGTCAGGACCGAAGTGCCGGACTGCAACTGCTTTCCCGCCGATAAATGTGAGTTGCAGTTACGTATTCCGTATTACACTAACATTGAGAAAGCGCACTAACCATGAAACAGCACACGGACGAAGTTATAAACGTACTAACATACATTTTGTTGCCCACAACTACACCGACCGATTATGTGTTTTGAAATCCGGAGGAAAATGTGTACACCTAATGTAAACCCTTATTTGCAAGGGCAAAACTACTATACATGCATGGCATAAATGTTTCCGCTTCTATTGCTTCCTTTCGTTTACGTGTCAGCGTCCGTAAATAAAGTGTGGTTCAACCACAAGGTCCACCAGAGCCCGGTTCGTATTACACTCACCTCGGGGCGGCTGCAAGCCTGCCTGATCTTCGGAACGATCTCGAACGAAGAACCGGCCTTAAGGGCGACGCGATAAGATTTGAAAAGGTCGTCTATACCGGCAAGGAAGGCAAAACTACGCAAGGATGTCCCATGGCTAAGTGGGTAAGTCATTTTCCAAATACGTCTAGCAACGATTAAAGATGATGTTAAAAAAGAAACACGCTGTATTAGCAGCATTTGTTTTTTTCTACTTACGCGAAAACGCGAAATTGCAATCTCAACAATTTGGTAGATCATCCGACGATCCGGTATCGACGAGAAGATCTTAACCGTGGTGAAACATCGTCAAGGTCACAAGTGTCCAACCGCTTGGATCGTTGTAGCTATGGTCGCCTGGGAAGGGGTGCCGACTCACGAAGCGGATCGGATTTATACTCTTTTAAGTCACAAACTCAATCGATTCGGTCTTCCAACCACCAGACGATGCGGTACCAATGAACCGCGAACTTGTGCATGCCAAGGACTCGATTCTGAAACTTGCGGCGCCAGCTTTTCCTTCGGCTGCTCCTGGTCGATGTACTATAACGGCTGCAAATATGCCAGAAGCAAAACCGTCCGAAAGTTTCGGCTGTCTGTACGATCGGAGGTAAATATCCTGGAATCTTAAACGGCTAGGAAATCGGTTACAGAGTTTAACGAAAGGATTGTGTTTTACAGGAACAAGAAGTCGAAGAGAGAATGCACGTTCTGGCGACGCTTTTGTCACCTTTGTATCTTAGTCTTGCACCGGAGGCTTTCAATAATCAAACACAATTTGAGCGGGAAGCGAGCGAATGTCGTTTAGGATTTAAACCGGGTCGACCCTTTTCCGGTGTTACGGCTTGCATTGATTTCTGCGCACACGCCCACCGGGATCTGCACAACATGAATAACGGATGTACCGTGGTACGTAAATGTCAAGCTTAATCCGATTTGTGACGTAATATTGTGATACGTTTCTTTTCACAATGTCTAAAAGAAATGAGACTTGTTATTTTATGAATATTACATCATGTTTAGCTTGTAACATCGCGTCATTACATTTTTTCAGGTAGTTACCCTGACAAAACATCGAACATTATCGAAACCTGAAGACGAACAGTTACACGTGCTACCTCTTTACATAATGGACGACACAGACGAATTCGGTTCAAAGGAAGGTCAGGAGAAGAAGATTAGTTCCGGTGCTCTTGAATTTTTATCAAAGTTAGTAGTATCTTCTAAATATTCAAACATAATCTATATAAAAATTATAATTGTTGATCGCTGTGACTGTAGACGCGAAAAATTTGGTACAGACATATAAAATATAAGATCTTCTACCTTTCGTTTAGATATCCATGCGAGGTACGAGTTAGATCAGTACCTCTTCAACCATGCAGACGTCACGGTAAGAAGAGGAAAGAGGATGAACCGGATATTCAGTCTGGCAAAAAAGATACGGTCAAGATTATGGCGGAAAAAATGGCTGATTGCGGGCGTTCACCAGGACACGCAGACTCTTCTAAGCTACAATCGCAATTAACATTAGAGATGACGCCCATGTTCGAAGGAATTGATGCGCAGTTGCAGAGTTCTCAGGTATCATCCACGGTCTTAGATAGTCCGGTATCTATGTATCAAGGATGGGGAGCATATCAAGGTGAGCAACAGTGGAATCGAAATGGCTGGCTTGAACAGCGTAAAAGTAACTGGCTGAATCCATGGGGAGAATATCCTTCGTTTGGTGGTTTAGAGAGGGACATCAAAGTGGACCCGGACAGTACCAGTTTGGATGATATTAGACCCAGGAGTACCGTTTCTCAAGAAGAGCATAGACCAGGCTCGAGGAATCTACCTAATTCTACAGTGGATTCGGCCAGAGGATGCTACGGAAGCTCACCTAGATCTCATCCCGTTTCACCTCGTTCGCACGTAAGCATTTCAGGAGAGGGGTCTTATAACACATCACCCAGAAGCTGTATGACGCCCATGACGCCTCAGGATCCGAAAATGATTCCGTTGAAAGGATTGGAACATTCAAACATGGAAAATAATTACGATCATCAAATGGCTTCCGGAATGTACGCCACTTCTGTCAACGGGCAAAACGATTGTTCTCCCTCAAAAATCGGTACCCTCAATCCATCGCTCGGCATGGAGACCATGCATCGAAATATTCCACCCAAGATGAATCAGTCGCCGGTTCATATACGCAACATGGGACAAGATTGCGTCCCCAATCAAATGAGGTTGTCGTCTCCTAAATATACGGGGGATTTTAATCCACAGAAATACTCCGATACCATGACGCAAAATTACACAGACGCTGAAAACTCTACGAAATCGCCACTGCTGAGGCCACAAGTTGAACAAACGTTTGCAAATAGAATGCACCATCTATCTCCATCCAAACCCATGCAATCGTCCATAAATTCTGGCTATCATAATCAATATTGCGATGGTAACACGTCAAATTTATACTCTTACATGGACAATAGTAGTCATAAATCTATGGAGTCTCCAAATTCGGATGTCATGGGACATAATTCATTACATTTACCAGAACAGCGAAATGACTCGCAATGCTCGTCGAATGACCAGCGGAAGTCCGTTTATCATGCGCAAAGACAATCGGAATCGAAGTCCTTCGCAAGCAATCATCCCTCATCCCCGTCTTCCGATCACGTTTCTTGCCCGCAGAATTGGAATATGGCGAATTCGTGGTGTTCTAATCAAGTTAAAAATCCACAGCAATTTGATCAGATGGGCGACAAGAAAATCTGGATCGGTAAACTAACAAGACCGGACCAAGCCAAAGCCGCCGCCTGGGAAATGTCATCTGAACCGTCGCCATTTCGAGTGCCAAGGGGGAGACCACCCTCGCGAACGATATCCAATCAGAATCCACCCGCGGAGCCCAGTGCATATCCAAATCCTTTGGCCAGAACATTTTTAAAACCGCCAGATTCTAAGCCCATTTTCGCGGACGCTCCGAGCAGCAACACGGCTCAAAACGGTTGTATATCCAATCAATTGAAGGATAGTTGCACGGAGGACAAATTGCGAGAAGGATTTTATGACAACAAGCAAGAGGTGTCCAATTCCAATCCGACTTCTCTTGCATGGACCGAAGAAATGAAACAGGATTTTCACACTGTGTCCGGTTTGAGCCATCATGCGTTTCCTCAATACGGATATCCAACTTATCCGGTGTTCGAGAAACCTTATGCGAACTCGTGGGAAGGTTACAACTATAATCATCATCATCAACCGTCATATCAGACTCCGGAGCAGTTCTACCAGCAACCAAAGCGGGAAGGTTGCTTTCACTCGTCTCAATATCCGTATCAGGGTCTGAATCCAGCGTATCAAGGCTTGAATTCCGGCTGGTCGAGGTGGGACACACCGCGGTGGGATATCTACGGACCGCCACCTTATTTCCCGGTCCTACCGGAGCCTCCTCCGAAGGCGGAGCCTCTCGGCGAAATAACGGATTACTCCGAGAACGAGGAATGCTTCAAGGACCCGCAGATGGGCGGTGTCGCGATTGCCTTGAGCCACGGTAGCGTACTCTTTGAGTGTGCGAAGCACGAGATGCATGCCACCACCGCACTAAAAAAACCCAATCGGCTCAATCCGACTAGGATTAGCTTGGTGTTCTATCAGCATCGCAACTTAAACAGATCCAAGCATGGTTGGGAAGAGTGGGAGGAGAAGATGCGACTGCGAAAATTGGGTATCACAACATCGACCAGCAGTAGTACGTCCGTGTCGACGACCAGTCCATCGACCCCAACCACCGCGACAAGCCCCGGCAGTACGATGAATGAGAAAACAACGCCACTTCCATCACTTTCGCACATTCCAAATGTTCCCAGTTCACAGTTCATGATGAGATCTCCTACTTACACCACGATGACTTGGACCACGCTCTTCCCGATGCATCCGTGTATGATAACTGGACCGTACCAAGAAGGTGGTGCGATTGGATGAGTCGAGGTCGGACGGTACAGCTTTGATCGTCGATGACCGAGGCTTGTACCGAGATATGTCATCGCCAAAAATCGAATCGGCTGAAGGATTCGAGAGGTCAAAGATCCTGAAGAAGTATCACGATAAATCCGATCGAGGATGAAACGACGAGATGACGACTTTACCATGAGAGGCTTTATATTGTTATTACCGTTATAGTTAGTTATTCCGAAAAAAACGAGAAACACACACTTTGCACTGCCATTTTTCTATTTCGAGTTTTACGCAAGATTTAAACATAGCGACAAAAACGTGCTTGAAGAAAGCCTCGCCGGGTGTGACTCACCCTTTGTCGGGGCTCGCGTTTTATACTGACTTTTTACTGAGTTGAACTCGAAAGAGACTCTCATAATCGAGCCAGAGGCTGCAAAATCGAGACAGTAAATGATCGTAAATGACGAGTAGATCATCGAGGCTATTGACGTATCAGGAAAGCTCCGATAAAAGCTGCGCCTTGCGAAGACTTTGATACGAAGATTTTCGTATTCTGACCCTATACACTTTAAGTAATATCGCTACGTATAACGGTTTCGTGTTGGTAGAATTGTAATCTTACTAGCTAGTCGAAGTCTAGATGATGAATCACGCGATATCACACGTATACATAAAAGCACACATTAAACGTATACGCACTCCAAACACCCAGGGAAACTTGCACGACGTGATCTCTGAATTGTCGCACCTTTCTGCGACTTTAAAAAGAAAAGCAAACCGAACAACCAGGTCTTCAGCTAGGTCAGCATCGTATAGAAAAATATCAACTATCTAGATATAATAAATTTTATAAAAGAGTAAACCTGGAGAGATATTATTTGCAAGATATTATTTATAATATGAGATATATATAATATTATGACATTTCTCACTTTACAATGCGAAATAAATAATATTATAGCACATCTTGTAGTGTTTTAGTTCAATTAATATCTTGTGATGTTTTATTAGTCGACATTGATATCTCGCAAAGCTTTAATTAAATTCAAAATCTAACGAAAGGCAGATTTCAATATGATTTCTGGGTCTATCGAAGTCGAGAGAAAGGAACGATAATTCGAGAGCGCCTTTTTATATTCATTAATTGAACGATCTTTCGCGAACAGGTCCAAGCACAATCCTAAATGTCCAGACGATGACACACGATACAATGATCTCAAATCTTTAAATTAATTAAATGATATGTAATGTAATATCTCTGATTTCTAGCCTTTGTATATTTCGCTTCTTATTCTCGTATTTATTTACGTGTTTGTACTCATAGCTAAGTACTAAGTACGATTAATTCAAGTGGCATGCGATATAATACTAACCATGCGCCCTTCGGGTCGGCTGAGTACAAAACATTTATCTAACAATCACGTGACGTAGGTAGGGGTGTATTTAAACGGTCAGCGATATAGGCTGGTTACGCCAGGTGTTGTCTCCATCGTCAGTTTTTGACGTTCTTCCCTTATCGCTTGTTCCACCTTGTTTAACCCTTTTTACTCGAACCGGCAATTAATTAATAGCACGACTTTATTGCTGGCTCGTCGTTTGCAACAAAATTCGGCAAATCGCTCAGTAAAATTCAGCAACTGTACTAGGTGATTGTGCGAATTAATTTCTCGTACAGTTGCGGTTTTAAGAAATTGATCACTTTTCAAGAACGAACGAATCGTTTGCATCTGATATCTCATCGAGACGAAAGGAAAGTAGTCGGAAAGTCAATTGGTTCAGTATGAACCATTCGGCAGAAAGGGAATTTCGATCGGCTTTCCGAAATTCAAAGCAATTAGGTATTATCGAATTGGTAGAAACGAAAAGAGATTTAGTCTATAACTTTATATCATTATCTTCTTTGTCCTCCTGATTTTATTTGTATATATTAATCGTCTTTTAGTCTAAGCCTGTTGCGGGCAGGACGCAAGGTCTGACAACAGAATCCTGCTGATGATCTTCGAAGCTCAGGGCCAATCGATACGGTCTCTGGCGGTGTGTCGGCTGGCATTTCGATGGATCAGACGCCCATTGTCATCGTGGAGAGCCTCTCGGAGAATCTCGGTACGACAGATCCTGTGTCTTTCGTGGTACATCCAGGTTTTCGTATCTGATAGAAGTTTCCAGGTCCGAATAAGGATCAGTAGTGCACTCTCCATTGCCCGTGGCCCTATTACGCTCTCGTGCATTCCATATCTCCGTTAATTGAACAATGTCTTGGCCAGGGAGTCTCACGCCTTCCGTATTCTTGTCTCCACACTTTCCACGCTATCGCGACACTTTCATCTAGAACTCGGGGACTTGGATCTCTCCCGAGAAGACTGAGCGAGCACGAGGACTCGCCTATATCGAGAGCCTGGAGTGCTACCACTTGTCGCCGGTTCAAAGGGTGCTTTCTTCGCATAGCACTGGGCTAGCTGAGCGCGAGAGGTTAATCCTGAAACGTTGTGAATTGATAAGTAGATCGGTTAAAGAAAAAAAACTAGGCACTGCCCGAGGAAGCAGCTATCGCTTCCACGTGATCCATCGTCTGCGTTCAGCGACCGACAGAGTTGTTGCGTTAAGGTACCCTGTCGCGGAGGTTCGATCAGGGAGAGGTGCTCGAGGCGAATAGAACTCAGCAGGATTAGTAGGCATGTAGATTCTTAAAACTTATTTATTTATTTTTCTCGCTCGACGTCCGTCTGCGAAAACCCGATCCCTCAATTAAGCGGAGCGCGATTTTTATTAATTTTAAGGGGGTTCTGTTTCTCAAATAAAATTTGTATTTTAGATTACAACGAGAAGCAAATATGAAGGCGGGTGTACCATTGCGGTACATCTATACTCGTGTATTCGCGTAAACTACACGGTCGGTCTCGCGCGCGCGGTTCTAGCTGCGCTTATACCTGACGCGAGACACTACCGAGTCTCGTGATAAAACGATGCCTCAAGTGTCAAAAAGTAACAGCTTGTGATTATTGAAAATGTCATTGAAAACTTATAGTTTAGCTCATAGCGAGGAGCAAGTATGAAGGCGGTCTTTTGATTTCTGACTTGAGGTCCCCCCCTCGAGTCGCGAGTCCCATCTTTCCTTTTGTATTTGCGTCCGTCGAATCGGTGAAATGAAAAATGAAAGAAACAAGACGCGACCAACCCTCGCCTACAAGAGTATTATAAGAATCATTAATATATTATCATTCATTAGTTATCGCATATTATAGTAATAGTGATAATAATAATAGTAATATGGGATGCAGTAATAACTAGTAATGTAATCTAATTTAATGTATATTATATATTTATTAATTAAGTTTGAGAACGTGATGCTGTGCCGTTTTTTTTTTCCTATTTTCGCCAAGCCGACTTTCGGTTGAGATTGTCCGATTTCCCGTGCACCGGGTCGATCGACGTTTCCGGGTAGCACGAGAGAATTCCAATACGCCACGTCGATTTTCCCCTCGTATCGCTCGGAACGGCCTCACAAATTTCAATCGGCGGGGATTAAAAAAAAGAAACAGTCACTCGTTGTCCCTCCCCCCCCCTTTTTTCTATTTATTTGTCTCCGTCTCATCGCTCTATCGTTTCTCGAAACGCTTCGTGCAGCTTCATAGTAAAGTCCACTCGACGGAAACGTAAAAAGGGGAAATTCTCGTGCGGTCGAGCAAACGTTCGTTAAGGAAGGAACGGACCTTCCCCTCGCTCAGATACACGGGAGAGTCGCGATAATTCGTCTCTTATCAATCTCAATCCCTCCCTCGAGAAGGAAAACGATTAAAAAGAAGAAAAAAAAGACGCGTATCTCTTTGTTCCCTCCGAGTTCGCCAACTGCTTCTTCTCTCGACGCGACGGAAAACGCGTACGGATGACACTCGTTTCTTTCGCTTACGCATACACCGTGCGGCACACCGGTCCATTTTCTAGATAAGGGTAGCGAGGACGGTAAATGAGAGTACAATGTAGAATAGCATCGGGCTCCCCCCCCGCAGGGCTTTCTCTCTCGGTTTTTCTCTTGACAAGTGTATAGCAGGACGCTGTTATCCTCCTCCTCGTATTCCGCAGAAGTGACAATACAATATAACAAAACGCGGCGGTCTTTATGTCGAGTTTCAACGAAGTCGCGGAGGACTTTCGGATCCAGCGGGAGTGCCGCGGGACTCCGAGGGACCGCGCTCTCAGAGTCTTTATTTTTCGGAAAACTGTTCCCCCCCCCCCCCCGGTCTCACCCTCGCGACGAGGATCGAGTCCGCGGTCCGATCGGATGGCGATCCCGGTCGCCGAGGGCGCGACACCGGGAACACGGAATCCCCGCGGCGCTTCGCGCGCGACCACGAAGGGAAATCAAAATTCCACAAATCGACTTCCAAGCAAAATGTACACTTAGCCACGTAATGCACCCCCCGAGTCACCATTGTACGATACTTCCAACCGTCTGTAAGTACACTGAGGATCGTTGTTCTTGCTGAAAGGGAAAGAAAAGAAACTTTTTATAAGGTGGAACGTTTTTACAAGGTGGAAACTCGGAAATTATATCGGTTCGACGATGCCAAAATAGTATTAAATGATTAGGTGAGGCGTTTGTAATAATAATAAGCGACGGACGGCGAAATAACGAAACTGTCCGAAGTACAGGGTCGACGCGCAATGACGGTTGTATTGTTCGGTTGCAGGATGTGCAAGTCTGTCAAAGTAAGAGCTGAATTGTCTTCTCCCGGATGGAGTGTCCTAAATTTAAAAAGAAAAATCGGCGAGAGCCTTTCGCGTGATTCTTCGACACAACGGGTCGTTGCGTGGATCCCTGTGCAAGGAAGAAAAAGAAATCCGAAATCTTGATTAATTAGCCGAAAAGAGAGGTGGTTGGAGAGGGAAGGGGAGGCTTACGATCGGAGATAGAACGACGGCGGATTAAGAAAGAGATAAACGTTGAAGAGTGTATTTTTTCTTCCAATGCCAAAAAAATGCCATTTTGTTTTGTACGAAAACACCAGCGAGAAAATCCAGAAAAAAAAGAGAGAGAGAGAGAACGAATGTAGCGAGTGAGGAAGAACGAACGAGAGGGAGAAGTGCGAAAGGCAGTTATTAAACAGTTCGTAGCTTGCATATATGAATCAGTAAAGAAGCAGGATGAAAATAAAAGTAACAAAGCGAAGGCTAGACAGACGAAAGTCGATGTATATGTCCCGCGAGGTCGGTCTTACGCGCCTTAATCCCGTCGTTAATAATAGACAGGGAATAATCGAGGAACGGGCGGGTTTTTTTTCCCCCCCAATCACGCAGGTCGGCGCGAGAAGTAGCCACTATCCGTCAAATTCAAGGCCGCTCGCCACCGGTACCGATTAATAATAACCCACTTAAACTTTCCTCCTACATCGGCGGGGAAGAAAGCGGGAACGAGAGGAAAGAAAGGACCCCGGTGGTTCACGAAATCCGAGTCTATCAAACCCGGTTCGTCGGCGGTCGGCTCGCGGCCTGAATCAGTGTAAGTGATGGCACGCTGTAAGGACGTTAGCGTTACGTATACACCGACACCGTATATGTGTATATATATTTTTGGATAAAAACATGAAGAAATTTTTAATCGAAATTCGGGCGAGGACGCGCGAGAACGTGGTTATCTCTCGGCGGATTCGCAGCTTCTTCGCGAGATTGGCGAGACACGTTCTTCCCCGAGAGCGAGAGTGAGAATGTGAGTGAGAATGAGAGAGAATGAAAGAGAGAGAGAGAGAGAGTAAAAGATAGTCGAGAGAGCGTTCGCGCACGTCGCTCCCCCAACTGTATTTACTAATATTTATTTACTAAAAAAATTTAATATATTGAAAATTAAAGAGGGATAAGTTATATGTAAGTTTTTTAATAGCTATAGTAAGGGTGTACCGTTTTTGTCCGCGTCAGTCGCGGCACAAGTTTCTCGAAACGAGCGTACACTTCGAAGACAGTCACAGCAAAGCAAAAGCAAGACTCGTGTCGAGATAAACAAAGAAGGGATAAAAATTTTGATCAGGATGCTTGGGTGTGTGTCCACTTAAGAATGACGTATGACTAGCCATTTCGTTGTGAGTATGATTATGTATAAGTAATAAAATAAATAACTGATTTTAGCTATAGATAACTATTATCACCGTAAGAATATATTTAGACAAAGATATGTGGTAAGACCAGATGTAATTGTCTTTTGTGAATATACATAAGAGAGAAATGAAAAATACAAAAAACTTTTATGAATACAACACCTCTCATGTTTATTCGCGCAATTAATATTCCTCGTAATGAACTGCAGTCGATCGCGCGCGGCCGCATGTAAAGTACGCCGTAAACGTTTTAACTGTTTTAGTCTTCTATATTTTTTGGGCGATAAACTCAATGTTTCTTCGAGTCGACGAATAACAGAGGCGACTGCTCTGGTTGCGGGACATCGGGTTTCTCAGATTCTTTTCTCAGTTCAAAAATTATATTCCTGATGGCTGGCATCCAAGTGCGACAAACGGTTGCATGCTGCGTCATAAGAATAACGTGGAGCTTGTCGGCTTCCTTGACATCTTTCCTTAGCAGCGCTGAAAATTACGTGCGCACAGCTGTTGAAAAATATGTGCAACTAATGTACTTGTCATGATAACATTAACACGCGCAAAGATCTTATTGTTACCCTTCGATATATCCCAGATGTTTCTCTGTACTGTATGGTTCAGTTTATTTTCGAGCCAACTGGACTTCATAGTGTCTAATCGCTTTCGTATTTCCTTCACTTTGTTCTCTTCCACCTTTTGCTCCGTCAGCACAGATTCTAAATTGGCCAAGAGCTCTGTCAAAGCTTGATCCCTGTCAAAATTGTCGTCAGACTCCGGTATCACTGCCGTGCAGTCTTTGTCGGTAGGAGCGAGGAGAGGTTTATGGGGAGCCGAGGTTATCGCAGGCACCACAGCGGACTGTAAAATGGGAGGCATGCTCGGCGAAGGTGGCGGAGCGGCATTCTTCCCCGGAGGGGACGTTTGCGCGGACAACGGAAACGCCACTCGCTTGTTCAGGAGCCTCCTGGTGGACGTCCCGGACGAATTGTGCGACGAGGACAACGCCCACTCCGGTGGATCGTTCCATCCGGGATTGTGAGTGGCCGGTAACGATATCTGGCTGGAAACCACGTCGCTCGGCGTGGACTCGGCAGAAATCTGCTCCATTTTCCACGCTTGTAGGTTAGGCTAGGTTAGGTTCGACGCCTAAACGACAGAGAACGCAAAGTCAACGGTGTCGCGCGTGAATCAGAGCCTCGCGCGCGATACGTACGTGCGAGGGAACATCGTTACAGATAAATTCCTCGGTGCCGGTGGTTTCAGGACTCCTTGTTCATCCGCCGAGCCGTCAGCGAGCATCAAGATTCATTCTCCGCTGGACCCCAGCGGCGACTGCATGCCGAGTAGGACCTTCGCAGCGCGCGACGATCCTATTCTAAGCGACTCGATAGATCGTGCACTAGTGTTAATGAATGAAACACGCGTCTGCAGCTCTTCGACGCTTGTTTGTGTTTCATCGCGCGCGTTATCACACGGCGAAACACCCCGCCCCGCCGTCCACGTGTCTCCAGCTGTCGCTGCTCCGCGACGCGTCGTAAAGGCCTTCACACATAAAATTCCGTAAGGACGTAAAACGTAAGCGTAAGAAAATCAACAGGTTGGATTTGCTACTGCTTGCGTCATTGCCTTACGTTCTCGGCTGTGATTGGTCGATTTTCTTATGCTTACGTTTTACGTCCTTACGGAATTTTATGTGTGAAGGCCTTTACGCGGACGGGACGTCACGAAACGTCACGTTCCGCGGACGCGGTCGCGTTCGAGCGAGCGAATAAGTTTGCATTAAGGCGGCTCCTGCACGAAGGACTCGAAGGAGCGGTTAGCATTGGGTGCTTCGGTGGGGACTTTGCTTTTGCGAGCGATCGGCCATAACCTCTATCCTATTGAACACCAAGTAATATCAATATTATAATTTCTTACTTACCAATGTAAATGCAGTGTAACGTACGGGCGTTACTTGGCGTTTCTTGGAATGTCAAGAAAATACTTTAACACTTTTGTCTTTATTTTATTTCATCGGCGACCGGGACAATAACATTTTACAAACACAGAGAAAACTACAATGGAAACGTTTGACGTTGTATCTAAACGCAATTTGAACACTTGTAGCCGCGAACGTGTCATTAAGCAACTCCGTGTTTAAATTGATATCTCACAGACAATTCGATAAATATTTTAAAACTCAAATAAAACATTGACTCAACGTTTAAACGAACTTCTTACAAACATATTATTTTCGCCAGGGCGATAGACCGAATTTACACCTGCACATACTTAAATTTCAATTTTTTCTACTTTTGTTCGGTTTATGCAGGAGCCACCTTAATTGCACTTAATTGTAATATTTTTAATAATTGTATTTGATTCGGCGAATCAACCACAGGTATTACTCGACAATATTTCGCGACCGTTCGTCAAATTAATTTGAAAAACAATTTGAAAATCAGCAATAAATAAATTCTTTCTTCTTGTCGCCAGCGTTATTCAAAAACACAATAAATAAAAAGTTTGATGTAGTTTCAACCAAACTGGCAATATATTTGATTAATCAGTAACTGATTAATCAAATATATTGCCAGTTTGGTTGAAACTACATCAAACTTTTTTATTTATTGTGAATTTGAAAATCGTTCTTGACTCTCGACCGGGGGAGGGGGGGGATTAGAATTTATGCTACTCATCAAATGCACATTTATTGTATTGTAATCTAATATTGTATAATTACACAGGTTTATACGGTTTTGGACCCGAGCAGCCAAAAGGTGTTTTTAAGGTAATTCTCGGCGCTGATCACAAATCCGCAGTCCGTTTTTTGCCATCAGGTCAGGTTTTCGAGATAAATGATTGAGCCATTTTCATCAATTTTCAACCATAAATTGTTCAACCATAAAAACTTGACAAAATACAAAAAATTAGAAATGGAGTGCAGTGGAACTGAGCCGTTTGTATTGTTTTGGGTCCGTTTGACGTGTTAGAGACCAACAATAATCGCTAAGCATCCCTTCATCCCAAAAACCTTTGTAGTTTCTCTCAATGTTACAAACATGTGAAATCTCAAAAATCTGACCTGATGGCGGGAAACGGGCGGCGGATTTGAATTCGGCGCGCAAAAATACGTGAAAAAACACTCTTGTCTTCTCGGGTCCAAAAGTTGACCGATATTTGTAAACCTGTGTTATTATCGTGCAATATTTACATTTAGTCCACGATCAATATTGGCTTTACGTTGGACAGTATCGACCAGTGCACTTCTAACCAACGTTGGGCCAATGTTTAGTCAATGTTTAGCCAATGCTGTTGTCTGTTCTATAAACATTCTCAAAAGTTTTAAAAGAATTTGCTGCTACGTCATCGATTCGGAATTTTTTCGAGATACGAAAGGAATTCTTTGTGCTCGAAGCTTAAAAAGTATATACTTCTGTGGAATTCTTTTTGAATTGACGGAAAATAATTCTCGTGAGTTCATTTTGAATAAGTTGTGCTAACTTTAATGAATAATTGAAATTGGTAAATCCCATAACGATCACCTGTACTATTTGAAAGTACAATTAGGTGATTAGGTTTTTTTTTCTGGAAATGTGCACGATCAATGCTAAAAATACCGAAAGATGCAACGGCGATTACATTATTGTTCTTTTCTCTTCCTTTTTCTCGTCCTTCTCTTTAAAAGTGGGAACTTCTACGTCTCCACCGATATGTAATGTTTGCAGTTAAGGTTAACGTGTCCGATCAACATTCTCGATAAGATTGACTTGCAAAACTCACGGCCGCTGAGTCCTTCGGGTCTTTCATTTTCCCTTGAAAACTAAGAAAGAAGTAAGGCCCATATTCGATTGCTCAACGTAGCAGTTCTCGATCGTTCTTGCTCGACGACTCGCGTCTGCTCGAAAACGTATAAAGGCCGCTCGAATCGGTCGCATAAATAAAAATGCCGGGCGCGGAAGGGAGCATAGAATCAACGAGATCGTTTGAGGTCGCCATTAATTATTCATGATGCGTACAATAGATTCGAAGTCGGGGGCTTCGAGAAAAGGAAAGAGACATCGTTATTGTGTACTGTTGTATTTTACTCGCAAATTTCTGCGTTATTTAATATTATTCGTTTAATATTTTTGCATTTTTATTCGACTAGGAAATTTGAAAATTAAACAGTTCGAGGAATTCTGTCTGCTTAGAATTGTTCTTACTATATCGTGACCAATTGACTGTACGATATAAAGGCCAGACCCTCATCAGGTATCTGTTCGCGAAACCTGCTCCGCAACCGCGCCTCGCTAAACTTCGCGCAGGTAGAGAGCGTCTGCACCGGACGGCTTGATTGTCGATCTCGTGTGTCCGTGGGGAATAAACGCTTGGACTCGTGTCGAGAATACCTCATTTGGAATCGCCGAGCATGGTGAGTTTCCAATCCGAAGTCGTCGGTCACGGTACAGACGTAACCGTTCACGACCGCTCATTACATCGCGAGTGAGCACGCCGTGCATCAGGCACGCGATGAGGGTCGACGAGCGAAGTGTCGCGGAAATCACGGCTGCTGTGGTAAGTGAGTGCGTGCCCCGCTCGAAGATCAAGACAGATATTTTGGTTCGTCGGCCCGCGACGATACTTTCGCGGTCCCGAAAACCTGATAACTTTCGCCCACAAAGTCACTACATCAGCATTTTTATTAACGGACTTGGGTTTTATCCAAACAAACTTGCACGGGTCCATAAATGTGTGCATTTGTGGCCCAATCAGATTCCTTATGTATATGCGTTTGTACGCTATGCAAGTTTGTCTGGATAGACCCGTAGAACGCGAGCCGACGAAGCGGACTCTTACTTCGGTGTTCACCAACGTCATTTAGAGTAACTTTGCTCTTACAATTTATAGTTTCGATCCTTTGTCCCTCTTTAACGGTTTCCTGAGAAAGAGACAGAAAATGAATTAAAATAAGATCGAAGGTAAACGACTTTGTTATCGTATGTGTGAAAACCGGGATACTATTAGAATTCGGTTTCCGGTGTCACGTTCGGAGTACCGGTCTCGGCGCGTGATTAATATACCGAAATAAAATGATGTGCCTTTTATAAAACGGAATTATTTATATTACGCAATTCGCATAAACAGCTGTTTCTTAAAGGATATTTCGAAAACTCATCGTCGAGACATGATTTTGCAATGGGTATTGACGTCAATAGTTTCCAGTTACAATGACGGGTATAATTTTAATAATAATAATAATAATAATAATTTTCCCGGGTGCGTATTTGAAGCTTATCGAGGTTTACGAGGTTCGTAAAGCTTTAATGGAAAGGAGAATGTGTAAAAAAATTTTTGCCCCCAACTGCCAGGGCAAACTTATCATGTTTTTTAAATATTTTTTAAGCTGCAGAATCACGTGGTGCAGTCAGTTTTCGATAAGCATAAAAGGCCCGTGTGTACAAATGTGAAAGAAGTGAATGAGTAAATGGCAGGAATCCTAAAGAATTCCCCACGGTCACGAGTCAAGAACGACTTTATGGCCGGTATTCATAGTCCGTTCTTATATTTAAGATCATCTTAAGTATACTCTTAATATGTTTTTAACCAATCACAGAGCCGTATTAGCTTCTTAAGACAACACTTGAGATGATTTTGAAATAAGAATCGACTATGAATACCGGCCTATAATTCATTTGACGACAGCTACTGCGAAACCATAAAATCTAAAACACTGAGGCTGGATCTACATTGGATGTCGTAAGTCGTGTCGGAAGAAATTGACCAATCACAGTTCATTATTCTTCGACCGTAAGGAGAATGATGAACTGTGATTGGTCAATTTCTTCCGACACGACTTACGACATCCAATGTAGACCCAGCCTAAGAAATGCAAATAGGAAACGCTACAAATTCTTATGCAAATACAAAACCGTCGAATGGCATGATAATTGTCTTGATTACTGCTTCTAATATAAGATGGAATATATTTATTTATTAAAATATTATTTATTTAACCTTTAATTTTGATTAATAAATTTAGGTTTTATCCAAACAAACTTGCACAGGTGCATAAATATATGCATAAAAAAATTGATTCAATATTACGTAGCCGACTCTAGTAAAAAACGAATTGGCTTAATTATAGCCTGGTTATAATCGGCGTAAAAAAACTAACACTGTAAGTCGTTGTATTTGCTTCGTACAAAACGTGAACTTTACTTTATGCAAAAGACGCTTCGACGAGGCGACGCGTGACGAGCGATAAATAAGTTTTATCTCCCCACGAGGCTACGAGGAAGTTCCTCGGAAACCAGGAAGCGTCATAGATTTTCAATTCTCTCTGAAATCGAAAGCTCGTTCTGCGGCGTTGGTAACTGTTACAGTCGTAGTAACCACGTGTAGTAGGACAGTATGTGAAACCGTATACATGTAACTCGCACTCTCGACGAGGAAGTGAAATGACGCGCGTAAAAAGACTGGCGGATACCGATTTTCCGCTTTCCATATCGTTAGACGTGAATGGCAGAGCATACGGACACGGGCTCGTTCCTCGCGGATCAATTACGAAGAAAAAAAGGCAATAATGTTATATAATTCCTAATGAGATCTAGCCTCCTTAAGAAGTCGCAACGATTAATCATAGATCTCAGACACTACTTAACAACAATTAGCTCGAATAGAATTCATACACCCAGTCAGCAAAACGTTAGCAGTTTGGCATCAGATTCTATCAGAAACCCACACCGAAACCACAGCCATTTGCAGGGTTGGGAAAGTTACTTCATAAAAGTATCTAGTTACAGTTTCTTCGCAAAAAATGTAACTAGTTACAGTTACTTAAAACGTAACGAATCGTTACTTTGCAATCATTTTCTTGCAAGGAAAATAAAAATGTCAAATCTGCATTTGAATTGTAAAGCGTCGATAAAGGCGTTTATACGTAAATGCAAAGTCTGATGCAATCTGTGAAGGTTTAAAAGATATATAAAATAATATTAATGTAACTATTAAATTATGATAGTTACTAGTTAGCGAAAAAATGTAACTGAGTTAAGTCACAGTTACAGATGGAGAGAAAGTAACGAAGTTAAGTTAGTTATAAAAAAAAAGTATCTGTAACTTCGTTACAAGTAACGAGTCACTTCCAAACCCTGGCCATTTGTGTCCGCATTTGGCTTTTGGTTTGGCGACAGAGTCTATAAAACATACGCTGTCACCAGATTGTCGGCAGAAAACCGAACAGGTCCAGTTATGTAAGCAGTTTTCGTTGTATTTCTGTCGACATGCTGGTAACATCATCGAATATATTAGTTCCGATATGCAATCTGCAGTCTTTCTGCTTTTACAATTTGTATTGGGTATTTGACCCCGACAGGACAATGTCTCAAATATTGTGTGTAATAATTGCACCAGCCAAAAGGAGGAAATTTCATCAATGAGTGCATTAAGGCGATTCGACACAACGCAGTGGTTTTGCTGACATAATATTTAAAAATAAATACATTGCGCAAATATTTATCAATATCTGATGAAAGGTCTCTATTTCTGCACATGTTGTTCGAAACAAGTACGAATAATTCTTATAGCATTCCAAGTTTCATCCAGATTTCGTCACATAATTCACATCGATTCCCATTCAGGTTGAAAAGACTTTTGTCTTGACAGCTACATTTGTTTACGTCTATATGAGGTATTTATAAATTTTTTTCCAGGCTGACGTGATACTGGACATCCCGGCGGATGCTGCGGTAGAGTCCGATGTGTGTCGCATCGATGTGCAAACGGCTGTTCTAGTCGAATCATGTAAGTAAATCCTTCAAATTTCAGTCAAAAATTTTAATAACTTAGAGAAGAAGAAGCTTGTTAAATTGCGAAGATAACATCTCTAGTAACACAATATGTTGGCGCAATATTAGAAAATAATATAAATCTAGTATAATTTCTATTGAAAATTCGTTCCTAGTACGTTCCTAGTTAAAAATTAATACTGCAGTCTGATGTAACTGAGTTATTAAGTATAGCACATGAACACCGTAGACGCAAGTCGTACGTGCTTTCGATGAGAAAATACACAAGGTGTATCGATTCGGAAGCAGCTGTTTCGTATTATTCGACCTTTCCAAATTTCACGTGCGACGCTGTCGCAGCTCTCAGTTAACTTTGGCACTGCTAACAATCGAGTTCTTTCTCGATCGAGTTCTTCTCTAGCCGCGGGCTGACTCAACGTATAGAAATTGTCTTTGCCGTGTCCTCTAACTGTGTAACGATGCTCTAAAAATAGATGAGGGCCAACGATAAGTCGTTGAGGAACAACATGATAATAGAAACTTCCGCGGCAAGTGGCGGTAATATAATTGCAAGTCTATGTTTTATTACTCGGTGCTAACAAGAAGTCTCATACATTATTGTCATCCGACAGCGATTGCTGAGTAATTTACGACATCGACAACACGGCCGGCTTGGTACCTTAGGGTGCAAACTCGCGGAGCGGAACGATATACGCAGAAAATCACGGAACGAGAGCCTTGACCAATTACGAAAACAGCGGAAGGCATGTGATTGGTCAAGGCTCTAGTTCCGCGACTTTCCGCGTACACCGTTCGACGGGTTTGCACCCTTAAGACACGTTTGCGCCGGCCTAGAAACCAAAGGGGCCGAAACAATTAGCGACTATTGCGAGATCGGTACCGCCTGTCGCAGACTCCACTCGGCAGACGATACCTCGACGTGAATTTAGAGCAACGGGTTCGAAGTCACTTCAAGGTTTACCGCGTCAGGCTTAAAGGCTGTTTCGATCAAGGAGATACTGCTTTTTTTTTAATTCCGTGCTATCCCCACCGTTAAATCGCCTTTCGCATTGTCGCGAACCCGCCACAGACGTTGAAGATCCAGTCTCGAATCCGACCACCTCGAGGGAGCACTCCCGATTTTGAGCGCGGAACGACAGGGAGAACCGGTAACGCATGCGCGCGCGCGCACGCATGCACGTCGTCTCGCAAATTTATTATTACTTGAGATCTGCTTTTTCTCACGGTCGGGGTGAGTTGCTCGGTTTCGTTGAGAATTAATGCGCGTTCATAGTCGAGGAAGTACTTAATCGGAGAGCTGTCTGTAATTCTGTACCGAATGTCGGGCGATTCTATGGATAAGTTCACAGTGGACTGTGTAAAGATACTCGTGCAACCAACGCAGAACTCGCATTGCAATGGTACGTTCTTCTCTTCGCGGTCCTCCGGAGCGATCTCGCGATGGAGGCATATCGATGCCTAAATGCACAAATTTGCCAGCGAAAAATCGAGGGGCGCCCGAAAGACGTGTCTACCAATAAGTATTGGCGCCACGCGACTTGGTTTATTCACTAATAACTTAACAATGAACTTTTTCCGTAATACTGCGTAATAAAGCGTAATAATAGTGTTTATTAATCCTTGCCTCGCGGCTTCCGGTTACCTGATTACAGTACTTATTGGCTAATTTCTACGTGATACGCAACGTACGTGCACATTTCGTCTCTACATGTCATAGTGTTGTCTAACTCAATCCTGTAATAAAGCGTAATAATTATACGTGGGATTGCACATATTGGCGCGTGCTTCGTACCAAAAAATGCGCGCGTCATCACTGCTGGCCGTTCGGTAATTATGTAACAACAATAACAGAAAATTTTTAGATACTCGAGAACTTTTTTTATCCCGAAACCTATTAGCATGTTTGACAAATTTGTCGATACGACAAATGTAATTTTAGCCTTGCGACGCTGACGCTGTATTTTCACTCGATAATTAGCATCTACCGCGAACCCGCATTTTCTATGTTTTTCTAAGTGAAGCACTCGACAATAATGTCTTCGTTAAAGGCCCCTCAAAGTCTTCTTTGGACGATGAGTCAAAGACAAATAACATACCGCGGTTAGTAACATCATCGCTATATTTTACATTCTTAAACGAAACATTCGCGCGAACAAACCTGTCCTCGTTGATAGCCCCATAAAGGTGTTGTTTGTCTTCGACGCGTCTTGCAGAGACTCTCTGGAAGACGAGTCGAAGACAAATTGCATGTAAGGCTGATGGCAGAGAACAATCCGTAAACGCTTAAGATTGTCTCAGTCGTAAACGTAGGGCAAGGCAGAGAGAAACGTAAGTCGTATACAATGGCCTTTCACGACTATACAATAGCCTTTGTCGCGAGATAAGCGCACTCTCCTAAATGTGTTACGCGCGGGAAGCAAAGAAGCGAGCGAGGACTTCCGGGAGAAAGTACAAATGCGTAACACCCATGGGGAGTTAAAGAAAAAGCGAAAACGATCGTTTCCCGAATCGTTCCACCCCGCGAATCGGCTCGCCGATTTTCACCCTTCACTTTCGCGCGCTCTCGATTTCCTAAGCGGCGCGCGCAGAAGCCTACAAGTGGCGCTCTCTAGCGGTAAACCGCCGTACGACCGAACGACACCGTCGTTTATTTATCGATGATGGTTACGGTCAAGCTGCCGCTATAAGTGCTTCGAAGCGTTTCTCCTCTCTTTCTATCTTTGCTGTAAGAAAAGAGAAGAAGAATACTTCGTAACATTCGAAGCAACAGCTTGACCGCAGCCGATGTGATACCATCGATATATAAGTACTGGAACACTTAAGGCTGAGTTATGATGGCCGTAACTGTTAACTTATGCCAGAACCGGTAAAGTTCGATACTGGGATTTCAATGCTTTCGTTCATAATGGGTTTCTGAACGAAAGCATTGAAATCCCAGTATCGAACTTTACCGGTTCTGGCATAAGTTAACAGTTACGGCCATCATAACTCAGCCTTTAAGCCTATCACACAATACCAGGCAACAGGCAATAGGAATAGGGAATAGAAGTTTTGACGCGTTGGATTCGTCAGAAATTTTCGTTCAACCAATCCAACGCGTCAGAAATTCTATTCCCTGTTCCTGTTGCCTGGCATTGTGTGATAGGCTTTACATACAAGTCTAGAAACTTGGGCTTTTGGCGATGTGCCAAAATTTAAGCCATTTTTAGTGCACAATCTTGTCATGCGTGTCGCTGTTATCGCAGAGTGCTGTAAAAGTGGAAACATATTATATATAACCATTAAGTTAGTTTATTGAAACGACCTACTCTGGCCAACGTTTTTATTTTAAAAAACTAACGACGCTTCGGTCCGGGATTTGGACCCGTCTCATTTTTTCCTTCTTGTCTTGTCTTCAAGCCGCCCGCAAGACGGCGCGGTCTATGAGCGTAAGTCTATGGTGTGGGCACGGACCTCTCACTCTACTATGTTTACATTGGTTGAATTTCATGGAAGAGAAGGGGAACGCTCTACCGTACTCGGAGCCGTTACTACCCACACATCGTCTTGTCTCTTTCTTACGTCTGCGAGCACGATTTTGATTTGATGCTCCGTCCAGTATATATGTCGATGTGTGACACCATGTACGCCCGCCCGCCCGGTTGGCTCTTTCCGGGATCACCCTCTATCCTCCGAACATTGTTGAGCGTATTATTTTTCCCCACCGCGCCGCGCTCTCTCACTCTTCTCCGTCCGTCCGGCGCGCCGTCTTTCCCCCTTTTCCCCGCCCCTCCCTCGCCGCGCTTTTCCGGAGTACGGGAGAGATAACCAAAGACACGTGTACACTTCGATCTCTCGCGCTGCTGACATTGCGTTTTACGGCTTAGTATGTTGCGCACCGAACCCGAACGTACATCCACGCACCAGGAGTAACCGCCCCTCCCCTCCCCGCTTTCGACTTTGAGACTGTCCAGTCCGCCAACGCCTGTCGAAGGATCTAGGAGTGTCTGCGATCATGGGTAAGCCCGATCGCTTCTGCGAGTGACGTTCCGGCGCGTAGTGTTTCCCGGGCTCGTTCTCGTCCTCCGTTCGGAAGGTCGACCACGGCGCCTACTCTCGAGTCGACCTTTCCGCGCGATCGCCTCTCGAAGGTCCCGACGGCATACCAACAGAAACGCTGAGATCATGCCGCATTCCGCGCCCTTGACGTCTCCCAAATTCGCCGCCTCCCCCCACCCTCTCTCCTCCTTATTCAAATCTACATTCCGTATCGTCACGTTCTCCCAGTGAGAAAGTAATTCGTCGATCGAAGTCGAATCGGCATGGCCTTAGGGTCAAAGCACAAAGCAACGCCAATAGCTTACGACAAAGGTACAAGCGTAAACGTAGATAGCGCGCGAGTTTTGGGCACAAGTGTTAACGTCATACGCAACTGGAGGCAAGTACGACGTACGCCAAAGCTTGCGCGCTAATCTATATGTTTACGCTCGCGTCTTTGTCGCATCTTAAAGGCCATTCTACAATTGCGTAAACGTGGTTGTTAGCGGTTTACAGTGTTGTAAAACACAGTTTTACTATTACTACTACTACAACTACGTTTACGTTGTAGGGTTGTAGGAGTATAAGTAGCAGTAAAGGCTGGTCTACAATACATGGAGTAAGCTGGAGTAAGGAGTAGGAGTAAGGAAATAAATCCATTTTATTTCTTACTCCTACTTCAGCTTACTCCCGGTGAATCAAAATGCCATCAATCAGTGTTACAATTATTTTAAAAATCATGCCCGTATTTCAGCTTCCTTACACCAAAAGCTAGAAGTTAGGGCTCTCCCTTACTCCTTACTCCACGCATTG